TCAGCAGGAGAAGATTGCAGAGCTGCAAAATTACCAGGTGGGAAATTAATCATGACCAATTTTTGGTCAGTAGGAAAGTTATATGAATTCCATTATAATTTTCTTTAGATAAGGCTCTTAATATGTTGACATATTAAATTTCAGTTCTACTTTACCTGAATAGCCTGTTTTGTTGCTGTCCAGTTGTACTGACTCTTTGCCTGAAGACTACATCCTCTCAAATTTAACTTTTAACCTCTTTCCATCTTTAAGGAAGAATTGATAGAGGAAAACTCTTCCTAGGCTGGTGCTTTGCATTATGCTTAAAGATGAACGATGTGGAGTAGATTGCATAAAGAGATCTGAACACGGATATCCTTTGTAATGTCAGCTATGTGTAATTTGGCTTCATTATTTTATTTCTGGAATGTAATACAAACATATTAAAAAATAAAAAAGCCAAATACATGGAATTTTAGACAATTGAGATTTCGAATAGTTCTTCCTGTTAGTGTAGAGGGTTATACAAAATTGACTGTAGGCAATAAATTAGTCCATTTTCATCAGTTTTTTTGTTTTTTTACTAAAAAAAATTAAACTCAAAGAATGAATGTAACTTTATTATAGTATAAATGAATATAGTCATTAAGTTAATGAAAATATTAATGTTGACCTTTTTATTTTCCAGAGGATCAACCATTTTCCAGGAATGGGGGAGATCTGTAGGAAGGATTTCCTAGCGAGAAATATGACCAAGTAATCTTCATTTTCTTGTAGTAGAGAAGACCTGTTCAAAAATTACATTTTGACTGTCATAGTGCTATCTTTCACAAATTTATATTGATTTGAAATGATATTTTGTTGGAAGAGATAAAATTTTAGAGCTAGAAGTGTTTAAAAATTTTCCTGGTTCTATTCTTTGACTTTGCAGAGGAGGTACTTGAGGGTCAGAGACATGAATATCTTGCACAAAGTCAAATAGCTAACAGCAGAGCTGGAGTAGAAACCTGGTCTCCAGAATTTCAAGGTTCTTTTCACTGCAACTTGCTGTCTCTCTAGCAGCATAAGTTTTTCTTTTAAATGTAAAAAGTTTTCTGTACATGGCATTCAATATATACTTAATTATTTTCAATTAAACCTCGCAGGAACTAATTTGTTGCATTATATCCCACCTGTGGGTATGTGTGTGTTCAGAATTCTGGTTATTGAGCATTTAATATGAGCCAGGCACTGTAATAGGTGCCTGTGTGCACACATATACGCATACACACATGTATATGTTCCTACCCGGGGATACATGCACACATATTTATCTCAGAGACCATTATTTAAAGTAATAATGTGCTTTCATGGGAAAAACTGTTAACAGGTAAAGTGTTATACTGAATATACTGCAGAATTTTTGTGCAGCTTATATTTCTGTTGATTAGATTTTTTTTTATTTTAAGAAAGTTGATAAATTGTATGCTTGGATTTTTTTCTAAATATAACAAAGAATGGTATCATTCATAAACACCTCATGGTAGTTTTAAAATGTATTGTTCTATTAAGGCTTTAACTTGATCTAATTTCACATTATTGTTAAAATATAATAAATACATGTAAAGGTGTTGGAAATAAAAACAAGTACATTAGCACTGTTGTGCTTCCTTTAGATGTGTGTGTGTGTGTGTGTGTGTGTGTGTGTGTGTGTGTTTCAAAGCAATTAATGTTAGCCTATTTTGTACTGAGATTATTTACCTGGTTGGCTTATTTTGGATTTGACAGATGTAGTTGGTGATTATTTTCCTTCTCATAGAGGAAACGTAACTTTTTTTATAGGGTTCTCTTGAAAGAGCACTTGAAATATGATAACTGTATGACCTTCCAGTTTTTGTGGAAGCCAGGTGGCTTATATATTCCACACGCTAGTCTTACAGTATAGGCCCTGCTTCTGTGCATATTATATACTGTGGTCCCATTTGAGTTTTAACTAATCTCGTTTGGAAACAGTAACTACTCATCTATAAAAGACTTGCATACATTTATAAAGAAGACTATTTGAAACAATCAGATTTTCTTAAATAGGTAATATTTTAAAATATTTCTAAGAATTTTCAAATTGTTATTGGGAATCAATATGTACCAAATAAGTAGCATTTGGATTAATCAAAAGCAAATATTTTATACCTAGTATTGTATCAGTATCCCTAAGTTATGTACCAAATAGGCAGCCTGATTTATAGCAAATACAAAAATGTCAGGCCATACATTGTAGCCATAAAACTACATGTATAGGTAGATGTAGTTGATGTAAACAAAACCTGACTCAGAGGCTTCAATGGTTTTCTCACAAAAGTAGTAAAACTCCAGAAAACACCGGGGTAAAAGGCAATCTAAAATTTTTCCCTATGGATGACCCAGCAAACTCCAAATCATCTTTTAAGAAGCAATGTGAATGGCACCTGGCTGTGAACCATACTAACCACCCGCATCCCGGAGACAGAGTTAATGCCGCCTTCCACATGTTGCCTTGCCTTATGTAGCTTTATTGCACCTATCACACTGTATTTAATTAATAGCCTATATATAAATTCCTTAGAACAGAGACCATGTTAATCCTCCGTGCCGAACATGTAGTATATACTCAAATGTTTGATCTACTAATATGTAAATTAATACATGGGGCAGAAATTCTTGTCTATTTTTTCCACTAATGTATCCCTAGTATCTAGAATAGTGCCTAACATATAGTAGGTGATTAATAGGCATTTTAAAAAATTAATGAATGGATCAATAAATGAAGAAATGGAGGGAATTTAAATCCTTGTAGTAAATGTCAGTAGCACAGAGAAAGAAAGTTTAGATAAGTTTGAATAGAAATTACTTTTCATATTATCTCTAACTTACAGAATGATCAAGTCCCGGCCTCTGGATTATACCTTTGTTCCTCGAACATGGATCTTCCCTGCTGAATATACACAATTTCAGAATTATGTGAAAGAATTAAAGAAAAAAAGAAAGCAGAAGACTTTTATAGTAAAACCAGCTAATGGTGCAATGGGTCATGGGTAGGTATTTTTCATATGGAATACATAAAAATTTTAAAAAATTGGGGGAAAGAATAAGTGTGACCATTTGCTCATGGTTGAGTACTAATATGAAAGAAAAAATAGCTTTCTAACTTTTGCTTTTTTGGAGCTAAATATTTAATGAGCCCTTTTACCCTGTCCCGGAGACTTCAATAATTCAATCTAAAAATTTAATCAACAGGTTGTGAGACTTTGATAGGAGACTACAAAATAGAGAAAGTAAATATTTTCTAATTTTTTTCTTAAACATAAAATTTGCATTCATCATAATTTTAGAGTAAGCTTGGAGAGGAAAATCAGTTGATACAATAGAGCTAAATTGAGTTGGTGAATGAAATGGAAAGGATGTTACTGTTTTCATCTTAAAAAAAAATCTTAAGCACAAAATGTCTATTTTCTTTGCTTTACAAATAATTTTTTTCTTTATGTAGCCATGGTAATTGGATTGAAGATGAGTAGAACACATTTTAAGCTAAAGTGCTGAGAACTAGACCTGTTAGCTGGGGATAGATTATACAACATAATATTCCTGTTTACTTTTGCTTTCATATGTTAGTTTTCTGCTGTTTACTTTTTCAAAGAAAATGTGGTTGAAGCTACTTTTAATAAAAACACAAGTAATTTTTATCTTGGATTTAGAGTTCTGTGGGGAAAAAAGATATTTGGAAATATAGCTGCCAGGTAAATTACTGTTCAACACATTTCCTTTTAACTTTTAATCATAATTTAATAATTTAATCAGACATTATTTTAAACTGTGGTTTAGTGATTTAAAAGGCAAACAACATGTAGTGTTAGTGCAAATTGTATATTAATTGTTTAATGTAAATTTGGTTCACTATATGTGAGTATCAGGGTAAACATTTTGGGGAGGATAATTGAAGTTCACATTTTCTCAATTTTAATGTTAAAAATTATTTTAAAAATTCATTTTTATATATATTTAATGTTAGTGTAAACAGTTAATAATATGAATTGACTACAGTAATAAAATAGCTGAAAAAGTATACTATACATACTGTGCTGCCATGGTTTATCTCATGCAATGCAGAAGTACATAGGTAAAGTACACCTCTCTCATCTGTAGAATATATCTATTTCCTTGCTGGTTTTCTGTTTAATTGTCCTGTTCATTATTGAGAGTGGGGGGCATTGAACACTTCAGCTGCTATTGTTGAACTGTCTATCTGTGCCTTCAATTCTATCCATTTTTGCTTCATATATTTTGGAGCTCTGTTGTGATGTGCATATGTTTATAATTATTATATCTTCTTGGTGCATTGACTTCTAAAAATTATTATATTACTATTCTTCTTCGTCTGTTGCAGTACTTTTTGTCTTAAAGTCTATTTTGTCTGATACTAGTATAGCCACTTCAGTTCTCTCTTGGTTACTGTTTGCATGGAATATCTTTTCCATTTGTTCACTTTCAGCCTATTTAAGTCTTTGACTATAAAGTATGGCTTTTGTTGACAGCATGTAGTTGGGCCATATTTTTTATACATTCTGCCAAATCTTATCTTTCAACTGGAGAGTTAATCCATTCTTATTTATTATGTAATTATTGATAAGGAAAGATTTACTTTTGGCATTTTGCTGTTTGTTTTCTTTATGTCTTATATAGTTTTCATACCTCAGTTTCTCCATTTCTGCCCTCTTGTGTATTACATGGGTATTTTCTAGTGTACCATTTTAATTTCATTGTCATTTATTTTACTATATATTTTTTGAGTTATTTTTTAAGTGGTTGCTTTGGGGTTACAATTAGCATCTCCATTTATAACAACCTAGTTTGGATTAATATCATTACTTTTAACTGTAAAAACAACAACAACAACAACAACAAAACTTTGCTTCTATTTGCCTCTGCCCCTTTTATGATGTTTTGTCACAAATTACACCTGTATATATTGTGTACCCATCAAAATAGATTTATAATAATTGTTTTATACAGTTGTGTTTTAAATAATACAGGAAAAATAAGCAGTCACAAACCTACACTACACTAGTAGTGACTTTTATTTTTACCTCGTAATCTTTACAGGTGCTCTTTATTTCTTTGTGTAGATTTGAATTACTGCCTCGTGTCCCTTTGCTTCAGCCTGAAGGATTGTCTTTAGCATTTCTTATAGGCCAGGTATAATAGCAACAAACTCTCTTAGTTTTTGTTTATCTGGTAATGTCTTAATTTCTCTTTCAATTTTGAATATTTTGTCAGATATAGATTTCTTGGTTAAAAGTTTTTTTTTTCTTTTTCTATCAGCACTTTGAATATGTCATCTTACTGTGTTCTGCCCTCCATTGTTTCTGATGAGAAATTAGCTCTTTATCTTAATGAGGATCCCTTGGGTGGGATGAGTGGCCTGTCTTGCTACTTTTTTCTCTCTTTCTCTAGGCTTTTGACAGTTTGATTAGAACATGTCTTAGTGTGGCTCTCTTTGAGTTTATCTTACTTGAAGTTTATTAGGCTTCTTGATTTGTAGGTTAATATTTTTCATCAGATTGGGAGATTCTCAGCCATTAATTCTTCAAAGAGTCTTTTTGCCCCTCTCTCTTTTCGCCTTTTGAGACACCCATTATTAGTGTGTTGATATTATTGATGTTGTCTTGCAGGGCTCTTAAGCTCTGTTCATTTTTCTTCATTCTTTTTCCTGTCTGTTCCTCAGACTAATCTCAATTGATTTATCTTCAAGTTTGCTGATTCTTTCCCTGCCTTCCCACATCTTCTGTTTAGCCCCTCTAATGTATTTTTGTTTCATTTATTGTACTTTTCAACTTCAGAATTTTTGTTTGGTTCCCCCCACCTACCCCACCACCTTTAAAAGTAATTTCTATCTCTACTGATATTCTGCACTGGTGAGATATTATTCCCATGGTTTCCTTCAGTTCTTCGTACATGATTTCCTTTAGCTCTTTGGACAAATTTAAAATAGTTGATTTAAATAAGTTATTGTCTAGTAAGCCAAATGTCTGGGTTTCCTCAGGTATAGTTTCTATTAATTGAGAATTTTTTGTATGTATGGGTCATACTTTTTTTTTTTTGAATGACTCATGATATTTTGTTGAAAATTGGATGTTTTGTGTATTGTAATGTAGCAACTCTGACAATTAGATTCTCCCTCCTCTACAGGGTTTTTTGTTACTGTTTATTCTAGTTGATGTTTATTTGTTTAGTGACCTTTCTGAAATAATTTTGTAAAGTTTGTATATTTTAATTGTGTGTGACCTCTGAAGTTCCTGTTCTGTTAGGTCAGTGGTCAATGTAATTGTCCAATCCGTTAGTAAATGAATAGAAATTTCCTTAAACACTGGGAACCAAATATCTGTATCTATACCTATATCCATATACACACACATACATATATATGTGTGTGTGTGTATATATAGATATAGGTATAGATAATACAGGAAAAATAAGCAGTTACAAACCTACACTACACTATTTTGGAGCTCTGTTGTGATGTGCATATCCTTTTATATAGCCCCCAATCCTTGCAGATGGTGTGTGTGTGTGTGTGTGTGTGTGTGTGTGTGTGTGTGTGTGTTAGAACATGCCCTCAACACTTAGCTAGGTAGTTTATAACTCTGCCTTAGCCTTCACTTCCTACTTGTACAAAGCTTGCTGGTTAGCTGGAGGTAAGAGCTTAGTGCCATCTCAGGTCTTTCCTGAGCGTGCACTTAGCCCTGGGCATTCATATGGCCTTCTAGAATCCCAGAAATATATGAGAGCTTTTCAAAGCCCTTATTCCCCAAAGATTGTCATTCCTGTCTTTTTCCCCAATCTTTGCAGTTAGTCTGTTGGTTTTCCCAACTGCTATTTGTTGCAGGGACTACTACATTTGTCTTTAAATGTTTTCAACATTTGTCTCTGCCGACCATCCCCCCACCCCCCCAAGTAGATGCCTCAGCACTGGGAGAGTTCACAGTTAGACAAGATAAAAGAAAACCTTTGAGATTGTCCAGGGAACCACAGAACTGATTTAAACAAATAGACAAACAAACAAACAAACAAAACAACCACAAGAATAGGTCTATTCTACTGCCTCTAGAACCAGTACCTGTACTGGGAACACAGGTTACTGCTCAAGGCCACTGCTGAGCTGGGGGTTGGGGGTGGTACCAGAGTAAGTTAAAATGCTAGGAATCTCTTTTACACAGATTCAGCTGTTTTTTTTTTTTTTTGTTACATGTTCCTTGGTTAGTATCCATGGTTCTAAAAAAAGTTACTTCTGACAGTATTTTTATGCTGTATTTTGTATGTGTGTGTGTGATGGGACCACTTTCCTCTTGAGTATTACCTATAACTTTGTTAAAATCCTGACTCCATAACAAATTATTCTTTTAATCTTTTCTTTAAATTTAGGATTTCTTTGATAAGAAATGGTGACAAACTTCCATCTCAGGATCATTTGATTGTTCAAGAATACATTGAAAAGCCTTTCCTAATGGAAGGTTACAAGTTTGATTTACGAATTTATATTCTGGTAACATCGTGTGATCCACTAAAAATATTTCTCTACCACGATGGACTTGTGCGAATGGGAACAGAGAAGTACATTCCACCTAATGAGACCAATTTGGTAAGTGATACCAGACACTATGATTTTATTAATTTATTCAACATCTATACACCCATTGTGTATAAATGTTACACCCATTGTGTACACCCATTGTGTATAAATGTTAAATGAACAAAGTTCCTCCTCTCAGCCTTTTGTAGTCTAGAAGAATTATATACATAAATAAGACTGCCTCTAATTTAAGACAGCTTTGTGGAAATTAGAAAAAAAAGTGCCTGCTGCTTCAGGGAGGCTAATTAGGAAAATACACCCCATCTGGGTGCTGTGAGCATGAGGATGGATTTCGAAGTATATATGTGTGTGTAGTGGTCCTGGATAGAAATGATTGATACAGAAATACAAATTAAAATAATATGCCATTGAGAAATAGAGATAAAGTGTTATAGAATTGAGTGTAGGAATAGGTTTTGTTCAGCTTCTCATGGGAGAGGTGGTATTTGAGCAGTCTTTGTATGAAAGGTATGGTTTAAACATGTAGAATGTGGGAGAAAGTACATGGAACAGAGAAAGCAAAAGTTATCAGAAAGTAGAGTTATTATTTTTTGTTGGAACAAAAGAGAAGATTTTAAATTTATGTTGATCAATTGTGAAGTAGAGACATAAATTGGCAGTTTCATAGTACGTTTTTAATTCTATTAAGTGGAGATTTTTGTAAGTATTTTTCCATTAAGATTATCTTCGTGTAGCCACAACATATTGATGAAAGTCATAACTGTGTAGTTTATGAAGGTCAAACTGTAATTTATTATCATAATTTATCATGAAAGTCATAAATGTAATTTATAGTTTATGAGAGACAAACCGTAGTTTATTATCCATACTTAAAAGTTTAGTTAACCTCTACCTCTATTTTTGGATCTACTAATTACAGTAAAAATTACACCTAATTAAGGATTGTTTCTCATTTTTGTCAAAGGCCTGGTTATTGTTCTTCTATAATATTATGCACATAAATGACTACGTTGAGTGGTCATTTTCCAAAATTAAATGACTAATCATAAATGTTGCTATGTTCAATTAACTAAAAAATGTTGTAAACCTGGCAAAGGAAGAATAAGGGAACTGTCAAAGTTTTTACAGGAAAGGAAGATAAAAGAAAGAATCATCTCTTCAAAGGTCATAGGGTGTGGATACATCCAATCTCCAAGAGATGTTTGAACTCTACTGCATTCTAGACATTGTGCTGGTTTTGGGAAAACGGTGACCAAGATGGATACAGTACTTGATCTCACAAAAGCAACAATCTAGTGGGGAGGCAGAAAATAAAATAAGCAATTATAATACCCAGTGGTAAGTGTAATGGTTTAAGAAACTGAGAATGCTATGGCAGTGCATAGCAGGAACATCTAACTCAGTTGGAGATACAGTTAGGGAGTTTGTAAAGTGAAATCTGAAGAGTGAGGGATTAGCTAAGTTAGAGGTGGGGTGGGATGGGTTAAGACTCCAGGTAGAAGAATGGCCCAGAGGTAGGAGGGAGAGTGATACGTCTGGAGAGAGCACACACGTTCAATATGGCTAAAGTACAGACTAAGAAAGGATGGGTGTTCTGACATCAGGATGGAGAGTCCCAGAGGCCAGATCTTGGTAGATCATGGCTAGGATTTTGGAACTTAACCTAAGAAGAAGGGAAGCATTGAAAGATTTTAAACAAGGGAAAGAAGGAATGAGATTGTTGTCTTAAAAAGGTCACCTGGCCTATAGTGTGGGGAATGTGAGATGGGGCTGTAGATGGATAGGAGAGACTAGAGTAAGGGAGACAAGAAGCTGTATTCTAGTCTAACCACATGTGAGAGACAAGATGACTTAATTTGAAGTGATAGTAGGGCAGGACTACGAATAAGAACACAGATTTCAGATATATTTACGATACCATGGGTAACACTGATATACCGACAGGTTGGTTTGTAGAATAAGGGAAAGAGAGAGAGAAATTAAGGATAAAACTCAAAAGTGTTTTGGCACAGCAGTTGGGTGGATGGTGACATTCACTCTGATAGGGAGTATAGGAGCTTTTAAAGTTTTGCAGAAAGCTGATGTGTTTGATTTGAGATGCCTGTGTGACTTCCAAATGGATCTATACTATTGGCATTTGGATATACAGTATAGGTCTGAAGCTCAGATGAGAGAACTGAGCTACAGGCGTAATTTGGGGCTTCTCAGTTTATAGATTATAATTAAAATAGTTGGAGTGGGTAAGACTGGATTATATATAAGGCAGATAGTCATGTTTTGAGAGGAAAGAGTAAAGGAAGAGATAGGAAAGGGTAAGACTTGAAAGCTCATTTAGGTGATAAAGTGATTTATTCTAATTTCTTAAGTTGGATGTATGTGATTTGCTTAAGTACACTGGGTTAGGAAATCATATTGAAAGATTGGGAGTCAGGAAATGTGGCCTCTAGGTTTCGCTTTGCCAAGTGCTCTTGAGTCACATAATCCCCTGGCTTTGGTTTTCACATATATGAAAAATGATGTTCTCCTGTATAAACATCAGTGTTCCTCATATATCTCTAAAATTTCATGATTGAGTTCCTACATGAAGATATGAAAAATATAAAAAGTGAAGTGCAAAACTTTATCTAAAGTGAGATCACTCTTATGTAAAAGGTAAGTTTAAGAAAAAAGGTGGAAAAAATAAACCAAAATGCTCCCATTGGTTGTTTTTGGACAGCAGACTGCTTCATATTTTTTTCCTTCTTCGTATTTCCAATTTCTAAAATAGTGTGCATTTTGGCATGAGCTGTATATTGATAAGCTACATGTAAGGAAATCATGAGAGAGAATTTCAGAAATTGAAATATAATAAACATAAATTTTTTTGCCACCCCGTGTAGCAGTCAGTCAGTCCTTGAAAGGTTCTGTATATTCCAATTCATTATTTTGAGCCTATACGCTATAAAATAGGGTAGAGAATAGTTATATACTTTTTATGCGTTGCAGGTTGCTATTTGATTCAGAGCTGCCATCACTTCTCCTTATGGCAAATGTCCAACTGACAGTGAACTGTTTAGAAGGGGATTTTTGTCAAGGTAGATGTGAAATTGTGGAATTTCCAATGCTACATATAAAAATAATGTTTTAAGAAAAATGCAAAGTTCCATTTCTTATTCACTTTTCCACTAGGATAGCTAAAGTCTTTATTACTGCTGTTAGTATTTATTTTAAGAAATTCCTGACAAATGGAGAGCTCCTCAAAAAATTATTTTCCAAACAAAAATAATTTCTATTTTGGAAACTAAGAAATGTTATAGTTTGATTAATTTCCCTTTTTCTTTAAATCAAGCACTTAAAATTAGACAAGTATGAGGTTATGCTCTTTCTTTTAAATATCACTTAAAGTGATAATTTTCATGAAAGTAGGGACTATGTCTGCCTTGTTAATCTTTGTGTCCACAGTGCACAACACACATTCCTGCCAGTGGTGGGTGCTCCTTAAATATTGTTCAATGAACAAAAAAAATTCTTAATTACTGGTGGGCATATGGATTAATAAACAACATGTAGCTCATATGATCAGTTCTGCATATTTGCTTCAAAGATTTCAATACTGTAGACTTAAGTAACTGCAGTGAAAATAAAATATGATATAAATATCATTGGTTATTAACAAATCAGAATAGTAATGATGTGCTCAAAGTATGTATTCATTGTGATGCAACATTGCTATCTAAAGTGGTTTCTGGGAGTAGGATCATGAGGGTAGGATTTACAGACCTCATGAATGTTTATGATAGATTGATAAGGAGCTATTAATGTATATTAATTGACAATTATGAGAAATTTTAAATTTTGTATTCTTTTTCAAGTTTATTTGAGGATAACATTGTCAATAAACATAAGAATATAGAGACACTAAGAACTAAGAACTCGAGTATGGAGCACTATAAATTTGTTGTTAATCATTTAGACATTTGTACAGCATCGTGTGGTGCTTCTGTCTGCTGACTCTGAGTGCACTCTGTCTTGTTAACAAGTTACAGTGATCTTCCAGTCAGGATGGGAGGGCAGAGGTTGAGTTTGGTATCCTGCCTCTAGGTTTCTGCTACTTACTTGAGCTTTTACTTTTATATCTTTGTTTGAGAAGATATAGAATACTCTCTCAGAAAATTCCTTTCCCAAAACAAGTTAGGATGAAAATTTTAGAAAAACATTAAAAACAAACCAACTAAGAAAAAAAACTTCAGAGTTCAGCATTTTTCTTGCTTAGCAATATGTAGTTTCACATTTTCATTTAATTACTCTATATATCCTTATTATTTTCATACTTTCTATGGTAGATATATTTTCAATAATATACAAAGTAACTTTGTAGGTGACTACTTTCACAACCTTTTTTAGAAAAATGTGCCATTGCATTTTGAAAATTACCTTTATAATCATTAAATTATGAATATGTTGGCTTTCCTCTTTGGATGCTTTGTTTTCTGTGAAACTTCATGGTTCTAGAGTCTCATAGGTGATAACAACTTTGGTTCTGACTTGTTACAGACCCAGTTATACATGCATCTGACAAACTACTCTGTGAACAAGCACAATGAGCATTTTGAAAGGGATGAAACTGAAAACAAAGGCAGCAAACGTTCCATCAGATGGTTTACAGAATTCCTACAAGCAAATCAACATGATGTTGCTAAGTTTTGGAGTGATATTTCAGTAAGATTATACCATTTCACAATTTTAACTGTCTTTCCTCATATTAATTGAAAGGATCATCAACCATTTTAAATAAAGAACGGATTACATTAGATTGGGCAGATAAAGTGTGCTTTTATGAAGAAAGTGAAATTTGTCATGGACCTTAATAGATAAGTAGTACTTTTACTGCTAGGATCGGAAAGAGGGAATGCTAAGCGGAGGCAAAAGCGTGAGTAAAGGCATGGAGGTATGAAAATAGTTCAAAGTGGCCCAGGTTGGTGCATATCGTATTTGTGGGAGATACATGAAGACTTAATGGCTGGAAAGATATATGGAGCCAAGTTTTAGGTCTGGAAATCAAGGCTTCACTTGGTAGGCAGTAAGGATTCATTCAGTCTTTAAGGGAGAAGATTAATAAGGCCAAAGACCATGCATGCATTTGAAAGATAAATCTGACAATGGGTATAGGAAGGGTTAGAGTGAAGACCAGAAGTAGGTAGAGGAGGGCATTTGGGAGTAGTTTCAGGGAAAAGAATGGCCTGAATGGAACCACAATAAAAGAGGTGACAATAACATAGACCTTGAGATTAACTGAATGTTTAGAATGGGGAGGGGGGGAAGAAGTATTCAGATATTCTTCTGCAGTTTTGAGGAATAATTATAAGGAGAATGGGTGTGGCATTATTTGAAATAGAATAGGAAGGAATTTATTTTGAGAAGATGTAAAGCTTAGTTTTGCAGATGAGAGAAAAGAGTTCTATTCACTTATTTGTTAGTTCATTTATTCATTTATTCAGTAAACATTTATTGAACCCATAATATAAGCCTGTCCCTGGCTGATAATTTGAGGATTTATAAGATACAGCTCCAAGACTCAAAAAACTCAAGAGTTTGGTAGGGAACACTTGCATGTAAATTGTTAATGAAATGCAATGTAGCAAGTAAAAAAACAGAGGCATACATTGGATTCTGTGGGGTTGTAGAGGAAGACCACATATAGTAGCTTTGAGTGGATGGGCATAGCAGGACTTCCTGGAGGTATTGACACCTGAACTCAGTTTTTTAAAAGTCCATGAGGCTATGATGAATTCTACTTTCGATATGTTAAACTTGAAATGCTCTCTCAGGTAGAAAAGTCGAGCAGGCAGTTAAAAGTGTATGTATGAGGTGTAATGGATAATTAAAGCCATGGCAGTAGATGAAATTCCAAATGGTAAGGGTAAAGAGAGAAAAGGAAACACGTATGAGAAGATAACCTTGGTGAAACAGACCCTTTTATTAATCCTAGCAGAAATATTAAAATGGTATTCATAGTTAAGAAGAGTATGTTGAAAATACTTAACATGATTAGGGCTATTCAATTTGACTTCTGGGACAAGTAATATATATTTAAATAAAAATATCATGGAAAATGGATGTGAAAGTTCATTGTTGGTTGAACTTGGTTCTCTTGAGAAAATCAGAGAAAAAAATCAGCATCATTATATTTATTCCTTTTCTTAGTGTTTTGTTAGTTTAAATCTTTTAAAAAATCTTATTTTCTGTCTCACAGAATGTAAACCGGAGGATACTTAGGTGTCAGACAAGTAAAAAGGAGTTAAGTAGTCTGGATAGAAGAAAATAGGGCAGGCTGAGAACGGTGGTCATTTGAGGAGCGTAAGCGGTCTAAAGAGGATAGATATCACTCAGCACCAGCCTATTGATGCCATGTGGTATTTTGGGCCCGGTGTGCCTAATTCTCTAATTTGTCAATAGATGCCCTAAGTCTCCTGATTTATAAATGGCAACAAATTCAAAAATTTTAAAAATTTAGGGGTTCCGTCAAATTTTAAAGTTTGTCATTTGGATTTGGTCAGATTCTCACCAACTTGTTAACTTTCTTTTATGTCTCCCTGAGAGACTAAATATTGATACATCCAAACAAGAAATTTGATTCCAACAATGCCGTTTATTTATTTATTTACTTTATCAAGGCCAGTTTTTTTGAAATTCCAAAAAATATTCTAATAATGATAGTTTACTATCATGTGGGTCAGAAACATCAAAGTGGTAAAATTTGCAATTTTGATGCAATAGCTCAATGATGGAAGATCTACTTGGTGATACCTGGATGATTTAATGAATAGGTCATTTGGTGACTAGCTCAGTGAGACCAAGAAAGTTTTAGATGCCCTCTGGTATTCTTTTTCTTTACCAGATTCTTCACTTCTTATGAGTATGATTGTTCAGGGAAGTCTTTGTGAAAAGGTGGAATCTGTTGGGTTGCCTTGGTGAGGAATGTACGGAGAGAATCAGTCAGAGAGAAAAATGGATATCATTAGCTTTACAGACATGGGTTTTAAGTGGTACTTTCCCCACATAATTGAATTAGGACAAGGTATACAACTAAGACTAATACTAATAAGAGTATGGAAATTAACTCCTCAGAGCTTAAAATATAATTTTCAGATATTACCTGAACATAGCAATTGCCGGCCTATTAAGCTCTGATACATTGCATGATCATTTCTATAAATGGGTAAATTTTGCATCATTCTTGCCTACGTTAGTTAAAATGTATATTAATAAATCTATAAGTAACCAATTAATAAATAATTAATAACATTAACTTTTCCAAGTACCTTCTTACAATTATCTTGTCAAACTATCTGCACTTATGTAATTCTTTTAAAATTTGCCTTCCTTGTTAAGAATTGCATGTACTTACAGATGTCTGTTGAAGGTGAATCAATAGGATAGTATCAAAAGAGAATAAGAGGAGATGAAGAAGGCAATTGTGCAATAAATTTTTATCTTAATAGTTTACTAATTTCATGAATTTCACTTAGAACTTTTTTTCGGTGACTACTTTATTGATGGTAATTTCTCTAAAAAGTAGCTGTCTGCATATGAAAACTAACATTCAGCAATACCTTCTATGAAGAACAGATATATATGCTTTTGTGCTGGTCAAGAATAAATAAGAAATCAATAGAAAAGCAGGCCATGGAGGTTAAAAATGACTTTAATCACTCAAGATCATCCTTAATGAATGCTCTTTATATACTTTAGGTACAAATCTACAAAATCGTCTTTCAAAGCAATGTTGGAAATTCTCAAAGGCATTAGTGGAATTTGATTTGATTAGTGGAATTTGTATTTGGTTGTGTCATTACTGATTTCACATATACCTGCAATCTTGCCTCTGCATTCCTAAAAGTGTGCTGTTTTTATGTAGTAAAAACACAGATTTGTAATCCAGAGTCTAAATATTCATTCCCCCTCACTCTGCCCCCCCCATCTCCCCACCTATCTTGTTTCACATAGACACTTACTAGTCAAGGTTTTAACTTTTTTTCCTACTCAGGTGATTTCAGTAATATCTCAAGATTTATATAACGTGGACTTTTCTTTTTTATCCTCATATACTGTGGTGCTACCACGCATTTGTTATTTTGAATAGAATTTTCTAAGAACAGCCTCTTGTGGCATCTCTGATATCCCCAAATACGTTCTGGGTTGGGATTCTTGGTAACAGCGAGGTTAACTTCATCTTCCATTTCTTTCTCTCATAATAAATACTGCTCCCACCAGGCAGCTGAATGTTCGTGTCTGACCAGATATATGAGGTAGAATTCCAGAAGAATAATAGAATAAATATAACAATAGTAGTTAAGTTACTAACCCCTCTTGACGGTTTACTCTGTTCTAGGCACTATGCTAAGAGTTTTACATGGAGTCTCATTTTGTCCTTCCGTAAGTCTTTTGCAACAGGTATTATTGCTATTGCCAGTTTACATTTTAGAAAAATGAGACAAAGTTTAAGCAACATGACTGAGGATGCACATCTAACAAGTAGCAAAGCCTGGGATAAAGCCAGAAAGTCAACTTTGGAGCCATTTTCTTAACTGCCATGCTATATTGCCTGTACCTGTAGAATGGGAGTTAAAAAGACAGTATATTCTAAGCAAAAACCAGCGAGACAGCTTTTCCACAATCCATAGCTTGTTCTCAAACTTTGGTAAACCAACTTTTTCTTTTATTAGCATTAGTAACTCACCCTAGTAGTATTATGTGTTCTCACAGAAAATGTTGACAGCTAGTTTGTTAATTGGCAGTACTCTGATTTCAGATAAACTTTATGAACAACAGAATCATCACTGCACAGAGAAACCCAACTCTCCTAGATTCTGTCCTCTTGGCCTTTCAGGCTTTGTCTAAGTGGAGGTTCTATAATGTTGTTTGTGAAATAGTTTACTCTCCTTGGAATTGTCTTCCCTCCCATCCCCTCGCCTTCTGCATGGTTTCTGAGAAGGCAAGCATGTGATCCTACCTTATTTAACAAATACAAGCCGCATTCATAAACTTTTATTTGTTCACAGGTGATCTTGAGCATTTACTAAATGCCAGGCACTATTGTTAAGCACTGGGAATGGGGTTGTAAATAATACAGACAAGGACTCTGTTTTAACAAAAAAAAGATCAGCTGGTCCTATGCTGTGTAGTGACACAGTAATGAATGATGTATGGGTGCCTACTTTTGACTCAGGGGTCAGGGAAGGACTCTCTGAGTATCAAGGAGCCAGACATGGGAATATTAGGGGAACAGGGTTCCAGGAAGAGAGATCAGCTAGTGTGAGAGGCCTAGAGAAGAGGAGCATGGCTGGAGCACAGTGGGCAGGGGGAGAGTTGGATGAGATGAAGTCAGAGCAGTGGCAGGGGTTAGATGCCACAGAGCTTTGTGAACCTGGTCAGGATGCTAGTCTGTAAGTCCAGGCCTGATTTCCATGTATGTAAATGAGATACAAAGAAATAAGGCTTTTCATCTTTTTTTTTAAATGGCAATTTTTACAGGAATTGGTGGTAAAGACTCTGATTGTAGCAGAACCTCATGTCCTGCATGCATATCGAATGTGCAGACCTGGTCAACCTCCAGGAAGTGAAAGTGTCTGCTTCGAAGTCCTGGGATTTGATATTTTGTTGGATAGAAAACTAAAGCCGTGGCTTCTGGAGGTAAGGCGTTTCTTTAAGAAGAGAACTGATCCCTCTTCTTTTTTTTTTTTTTTTTTTTTTTTTGAATTTTATTTACTTTATTTTTTTATACATCAGGTTCTTATTAGTCATCCATTTTATACACATCAGTATATACATGTCAATCCCAATCACCCAGTTCAGCACACCACCATGCCCACCCTCCTTGCGGCTTTCCCCCCTTGGTGTCCATATGTTTGTTTTCTATATCTGTGTCTCAATTTCTGCCCTGCAAACCAGTTAATCTGTACCATTTTTCTAGTTTCCACATATATGCGTTAATATACAATATTTGTTTTTCTCTTTCTGACTTACTTCACTCTGTATGACAGTATCTAGATCCATCCACGTCTCAACAAATGACTCAATTTCGTTCCTTTTTATAGCTGAGTAATATTCCATTGTATATATGTACCACACCTTCTTTATCCATTCGTCTGTTGATGGGCATTTAGGTTGCTTCCATGACCTGGCTATTGTAAATAGTGCTGCAATGAACATTGGGTGCATGTGTCTTTTTGAATTATGGTTTTCTCTGGGTATATGCCCAGTAGTGGGAATGCTGGATCATATGGTAATTCTATTTTTAGTTTTTTAAGGAACCTCCATACTGTTCTCCATAGTGGCTGTATCAATTTACATTCCCACCAACAGTGCAAGAGGGTTCCCTTTTCTCCACACCCTCTCCAGCATTTGTTCTTCGTAGATTTTCTGATGATGCCCATTCTAACTGGTGTGAGGTGATACCTCATTGTAGTTTTGCAATTACATTTCTCTAATAATTAGTGATGTTGACCGGCTTTTCATGTGCCTCTTGGCCATCTGTATGTCTTCTTTGCAGAAATGTCTATTTAGGTCTTCTGCCGTTTTTGGATTGGGTTGTTTGTTTTTTTAATATTGAGCTGCATGAGCTGTTTATATATTTTGGAGATCAATTTCCTTTGTCCATTGATTCGTTTGCAAATATTATCTCCCATTCTGAAGACTGTGTTTTTGTCTTGTTTGTGGTTTCCTTTGCTGTGCAAAAGCTTTGAAGTTTCAGTAGGTCCCGTTTGTTTATTTTTGGTTTCATTTCCATTTCTTTGGGAGGTGGGTCAAAAAAGATCTTGCTGTGATTTATGTCATAGAGTGTTCTGCCTATGTTTTCCTCTAAGAGTTTTACAGTGTCACGTCTTACATTTAGGTCTTTAATCCATTTTGAGTTTATTTTTGTGTATGGTGTTAGGGAGTGTTCTAATTTCATTCTTTTGCATGTAGCTGTCCAGTTTTCCTAGCACCATTTATTGAAGAGACTGTATTTTCTCCATTGTATATCCTTGCCTCTTTTTTCATAGATTAGTTGACCATAGGTGTGTGGGTTTATCTCTGGGCTTTCTGTATTGTTCCATTGATCTATGTTTCTGTTTTTGTGCCAGTACCATATTGTCTTGATTACTATAGCTTTGTAGTATAGTCTGAAGTCAGTGAGTCTCGTTCCTCCAGCTCTGTTTTTTTCCCTCAAGAATGCTTCAGCTATTCGGGGTCTTTTGTGTCTCCATACAAATTTTAAGATTTTTTTGTTCTAGTTCCGTAAAAAATGCCATTGGTAATTTAATAGGGATTGTATTGAATCTGTAGATTGCTTTGGGTAGCATAGTCATTTTCACAATATTGATTCTTCCAATCCAAGAACATGGTATATCTCTCCATCTGTTGGTATCTTCTTTAATTTCTTTTATAAGTGTCCTATAGTTTTCTGCATACAGGTCTTTTGTCTCTCTAGGTAGGTGTATTCCTAGGTATTTTTTTCTTTTTGTTGCATTGGTAAATGGGAGTGTTTCCTTAATTTATTTTTCAGATTTTTTATCATTAGTGTATAGGAATGCAAGAGATTTCTGTGCATTAATTTCCTATCCTGCAACTTTACCCAATTCACTGATTAGCTCTTGTAGCTTTCTGGTGGCATCTTTAGGATTCTCTAGGTATAGTATCATGTCATCTGCAAACAGTGACAGTTTTACTTCTTCTTTTCCAATTTGGATTCCTTTTATTTCTTTTTCTTCTTTGATTGCCGAGGCTAGGACTTCCAAAACTATGTTGAATAATCGTGGTGAGAGTGGACATCCTTGTCTTGTTTCTGATCTTAGAGGAAGTGCTTTCAGTGTTTCACCATTGAGAATGATGTTTGCTGTGGGTCTGTCGTATATGGCCTTTATTATGTTGAGGTAGGTTCCCTCTATGCCCACTTTCTGGAGAGTTTTTATCATAAATGGGTGTTGAATTTTGTCAAGAGCTTTTTCTGCATCTATTAAGATGATCATATTGTTTTTGTTATTCAATTTGTTAATATGGTGTATCACATTGATTGATTTGCATATGTTGAAGACTCCTTGCATCCCTGGGATAAATCCCACTTGATCATGTTGTATGCTCCTTTTAATGTGTTGTTGGATTCTGTTTGCTAGTATTTTGTTGAGGATTTTTGTGTCTATATTCATCAGTGATATTGGTCTGTAATTTTCTTTTTTTGTAGTATCTTTGTCTGGTTTTGGTATCAGGGTGATGGTGGCCTCATAGAATGAGTTTGGGACTGTTCCTCACACTGCAATTTTTTGGAAGAGTTTGAGAAGGATGGGTGTTTGCTCTTCTCTAAATGTTTGATAGAATTCACCTGTGAAGGCATCTGATCCTGGACTTTTCTTTGTTGGAAGATTTTTAATCACAGTTTCAATTTCATTACTTGTGATTGGTCTGTTCATATTTTTTGTTTTTTCCTTGTTCAGTCTTGGAAGTTTATACCTAAGAATTTGTCCATTTCTTCCAGGTTGTCCATTTTACTGGCAAAGAGTTGCTTGTAGTAGTCTCTTAGGATGCTTTGTATTTCTGTGGTGTCTGTTGTAACTTATCCTTTTTCATTTCTGTTTTTATTGATTTGAGTCCTCTCCCTTCTTTTCTTGATGAGTCTGGCTAATGGTTTATCAATTTTGTTTATCTTCTCAAAGAACCAGCTTTTAATTTTACTGATCTTTGCTTTGTTTTCTTTGTTTCTATTTCATTTATTTCTGCTCTCATCTTGATGAGTTCTTTCCTTCTGCTAACTTTGGGTTTTGTTTGTTCTTCTTTCTCTAGTTCCTTTAGGTGTAAGGTTAGGTTGTTTATTTGAAATTTTTCTTGTTTTTTGAGGTAGACTTGTTATAAACTTCCCGCTAGAACTGCTTTTGCAGTTCTAGGTTTTGGATCATCGTGTTTCATTGTCATTTGTCTCTAGGTATTTTTTGATTTCCTATTTGATTTCTTACGTGATCTATTGGTTATTTAGTAACGTATTGTTTAGCCTCCGTGTGTTTGTGTTTTTTACGTTTTTTTTTCCTGTAATTGATTTCTAATCTCATAGCATTGTGGTCAGAAAAGATGCTTGATATGATTTCAATTTTCTTAAATTTACCGAGGCTTGATTTGTGACCCACGATGTGATCTATCCTGGAGAATGTTCCGTGCCCATTTGAGAAGAAAGTGTAATCTCCTGTTGTTAGATGGAATGTCCTATAAATATCAATTAAATGTATCTGGTCTATTGTGTCATTTATAGCTTGTGTTTTCTTATTTACTTTCAGTTTGGATGATCTGTCCATTGTTGTAAGTGAGGTGTTCAAGTTCCCCACTCTTAATGTGTTATGGTCGATTTCCTCTTTTATAGCTGTTAGCAGCTGCCTTATGTATCGAGGTGCTCCTATGTTGGGTGCATATATATTTATAGTTATTATATCTTCTTCTTGGATTGATCCCTTGATCATTATGTAATGTCCTTCCTTGTCTCTTGTAACATTCTTTATTTTAAAGTCTATTTTACCTGATATGATTGTTGCTACTCCAGCTTCCTTTTGATTTCTATTTGCATGGAATATCTTTTTCCATCCCGTCACTTTCAGTCTGTATGTGTCCCTAGGTCTGAAGTGGGTCTCTTGTAGACAGCATATATATGGGTCTTGTTTTTGTAACCATTCAGTGAGCCTGTGTCTTTTGGTTGGAGCATTTAATCCTTTCATGTTTAGGGTAATTATCGATATGTATGTTCCTGTGACCATTTTCTTAATTGTTTTGGGTTTGTTTTTGTAGGTCCTTTTCTTCTCTTGTGTTTCCCACTTAGAGAAGTTCCTTTAGCATTTGTTGTAGAGCTGGTTTGGTGGTTTTGAATTCTCTTAGCTTTTGCTTGTCTGTAAAGCTTTTGATTTCTCCATCGAATACAAATGACATCCTTGCTGGGTAGACTAATCTTGGTTGTAGGTTTTTCCCTTTCATTACTTTAAGTATATCATGCTAATCCCTTCTGGCTTGTAGAGTTTCTGCTTAGAAATCAGCTGTTAACCTTATGGGAGTTTCTTTGTATGTTTTTTGTCATTTCTCCCTTGCTGCTTTCAATAATTTTTCTTTGTTTTTAATTTTGGCCAGTTTGATTTTATGTGTCTCAGCATGTTTCTCCTTTGGTTTATCCTGTATGGGGTTCTCTGTGCTTCCTGGACTTGGGTGGCTATTTCCTTTCCTTTGTTAGGGAAGTTTTTGACTATAATCTCTTCAAATATTTTCTCTGGTCCTTTCTCTCTTTCTTCTCCTTCTGGGACCCCTACAATGTAAATGTTGTTGTGTTTAATGTTGTCCCAGAGGTCTCTTAGGCTGTCTTCATTTCTTTTCATTCTTTTTTCTTTATTCTGTTCCGCAGCAGTGAATTCCACCATTCTGTCTTCCAGGTCACTTATCCATTCTTCTGCCTCAGTTATTCTGCTATTGATTCCTTCTAGTGTATTTTTCACTAAAGTTATTGTATTGTTCATCTTTGTTTGTTTGTTCTTTAATTCTTCTAGATCTTTGTTGAACATTTCTTGCCTCTTTTCTATCTTTGCCTCCATTCTTTTTCCAAGGTTCTAGATCATCTTCACTCTCATTATTCTGAATTCTTTTTCTGGAATGTTGCCTATCTCCACTTTATTTAGTTCTTTTTCTGGGGT